AATTATTACTTTACGAAATCAATTTATCAAAATGTTTGTCGATCGCTTTTCGAGAAGGATAAGCTTGTCATCTCGTTGGTAATGTGTTTGGGTATATTGGTATCGCGGGTAAGTAAATACATACATACATACATATGCTACATGTACATATAACAAACAAGTACTTTACTTTGTAAAAAAAAGCTAAGATACTCGCGTAGGTTTGCACTCTAAGTGAAAGTAGTTAACATTGAGTAAAAATGTAATAAATACACTTAATGGCGTATAAACCAGTACTGAGTGTTTGAGTGCATATTAACATGCAATTATTGCGCCGTTAAGGCTTTTTACAAACACACATACAATTATATGTAGATCTATAAAAACACATGAACATATTATTTGCCCTCTGTCAAAACATTTTGGCTCACTTCAGTTTAACTTGGGAGTTAGAAATCCTTTCTGAAACAAAATACGATACAAGGATAATGAGATTTTCAATGTCTTTAGACAACAATTTTTACTTCCAAGGTACCATCATAACCTTTGAACAGTCTCAATACTTTCACTCTGTGGCACCCTAGCTCGTTGAGGGAGCCCCCTCACTAGGTAACCCAAAGATGGAATTGGAGAGATCTGAAAGTTCCACCATCATTTTTTTCTTCCGGGTCCTCTACCTTATCTACCTTATCTATCTTATCTTCTTTTGCAATATCCCCTAATTTCGACTGAAGATTTTTCGATGCTCACTACTTCGCGGACCATAACTATATTTAGATTTCCCTGGACAAAAAAAGTAAAAAAAAAATATTGTTTTTTAGAAATTTCGGGAGAACATATTGGGACCTGTAGTTGCTAATCCCCCGGAAGCCCTCAGGAGAGCTTTAGTATCGAAAGTTCGATTGATGATTTAGTGGAGAAGTTCACAACAGCAAGTAATAGTGCCAGCGAAAGCTCGTGCCTCCGCTTGACAGGCCGCTAGGCACAGTCAGACCGAACTGGTAGGGGATTGATCTCTCAGAACTCAGGGCATCACGTAAACGCCTGAATAAAGCCAGGAAACGTGTACTACACTCCGTTTGGGAACTCTACAATGTCGTCCAAATTAAGAAACTCCGAAAGCGAGTCATGAATGAATTTCTGCGAATTTAGGCGCATCCTCGCAAAGTGTCTAGTTCCCTTGGGATACTTGAGAGCTGTGAGGGGCAACTGGATTAGCAAAGAAAATCGCTTAAGCTACTCCTAGATGTTATTTCGTAGCTAATTCTGTACCGTGTTTGGCTACAGGGGTTAATACATTTCACTGGGTCGCTTCCTCTGGTGAACTAAATACTAAAGAAACACCGACTGCTCTTTGCGTCTCCCGCTTTTAAACCCTTAAAGTCCTCTGGAATAGTTGACATTATTCCTGCACGACGCACAATGTCGGCGAGGTATCCTGTACGAGCTGCGTAGACAGCGAGCGGAAAAAATCTATCCCGTGCGGGATGGCAATTTGTGGTCTACTCTAGGACAGATGGGCTTACGGTAGATTAACTATGGCTGCAACTGGCTAAGCGCTAACTCTCGATTCTCGCAAGGGTACTGGCCGGACCCCATGCGGTGTGAGTTCATAACTCCACGTACCCATAATGCCGTAGCTGTTTGAAAGGCGACAAGTTTTATGATTCGTTTGGGGAAAAAGAAGTTTTTTTATGCGCGTAGCTTCGGACATTGGACAACGTACTGTTTGTTCATATGTATATATATTAGGTTGGTCCAAAATAAATAAAGTAGGAATTTTAATGCTCTCAGCACCTAGGATAATTCTATATCGAAAAAATACACCGCTATTTTTTTTATTTTAAATACAAAAAATTTTGATAGGTCGCTCAAGGCGCTCAAAGTTTTTTAAGTTTAAAAAAAAAAACTTTTCGTAGAAATGATATAGAATTAACAATTTTTTTATACAACGAATTTTTTATTTGGCGGACCTAGAAAATATAGTTATATTCAAAAAACGGTTAAATGAATAATTCGGTGTTATTATTGGGAATACTTTGAAGAGAAACAGGGTTTTCCGATCGAAAAATATTTATTTTCAAGAATTCTACATTTCCACGAAAGTTTTTTTCCTCTAAATATCTTTTGATTTCAATATAATAAATAGGGGTAAATTTTTTCTTTATACAAGAATCCGACTTAATTTTTTCACATTCATTTTTGGACCACCCCCTTGCACTTGTAGTTGCAAGTAGACTAATTGTGAAGCCTTTCGCCCAACCCTTGCTAGTTTTTTTTTACTTTACGACTGTTTCCTTTGATTTATTCAATGTTTTTTCCCTACTTTTTTCCTTACTAGTTACACACTTCACTTTTTTTCTTTGCCACTACTTTTCTTTAGTTTAGTACGCTCATCTCATTTTCCTACAAGCATTTCCTTTACATTTTTTTTTTTTTTGCCTATCTCTGGCTTTTGACGCCATTTCCATCTTAATGTTGATTAATTTTTTATTTAATCCCATTTAATTTGCATGAACAAACATAAAACTGCAATCATCTAAATGGAACTTGCCATTTGCTAATTTCCAACTTCATTCTGCGACTAGCCTGGCAATGATGTTGGCCATCAAGGCAAACGATGCAGCGCCTGCTGCTTCATTTGTACATAACTACTCGTATTTACTAAGTTGTAGTATGTTGGGCGTTGAATGCAAATGCTGCTAACTGCTAATACCTTGCCTACAGGCTAATATGTATCTACTTACTTATTTGCTGCTGCACTCTGAGCGTTACAACAACACAACACAAACAGTCGCAACAACTGTGGCAATGAAAACAACTAAAATGCCAACAATGCCATTAAACATTCCTTTCTACTACCAACAATACACATAAATACATACCTTAATACATAAATAAATTGGCAACAACTAATACTTTAACGAATGTAAAATGCAAAAATGACTTTACTATCTCATTCGTATTTTTGTTGTTGCCCTTGCCACTGATGACTGCAATTGCATTGGAAATACTCTGCGTCTATGCTGCTGCTGTTGCTGCTGCTGCTGCTGTTGCTACTGATATGCCACCATCTCCAATGGATACTCAAATAGGGTAAAATAAATAAATCGCATTTGTTGTTCTTCTTGACTGGAGGCGTTGGCTTGCAAGCGGTGCCGCCTAATCCGGACAACAGTTGGCTGCCGGAAAAGGCCTGGACACAAATGTTTCGCGCGAGCGATCTCGAAGGGTAAGTAGATAATGAATAAAATACAATATGAAAAACCGTTGCGTGAAAAAAATTGAGCCCACCTCTAATTTCTAATTTGAATATATGAAACGAAAAACTTTTATGGAAACGCCGTTTTTAAGGTGCTTTGCTTTTTATTTTTTTGGGGCAAATTTGTGTTCTTCTTGATTTCACCTGTAGCCTAGGCGATTTTGTAAGAGTACAATTGGAAATGTTAAGTGAAGCCGGAACCTGAATGAATACTCGTTTCGAATCGAGTAAAATAAAATTACAGCTGCTTTCTCTCCAATAAAATTTAAAGGTGCTCTTTATAGAGTATCATAATTTTAAGATTATGTTCCGAATGGAGTTACATTCGATCACGGATGCCGTGATTCGTACCGGGTAGGTGCATACTTCTCACTCACTCTTTAGCGGCTCTATGTAAAGGAAGTTGTAAACCTTATACAGTTCACCAGCAGTCTCACCTTATTTTCTTCATTAACCAACGGTGAAAGGACAGTGTTGTCGATATGTGTCGCCCAGTCTGAAACCTCATTTGGTATCGAACAGCTCGGAAATCGCCTTCCTAATTCTAAAGGGTTTGGTAGTACTGCTCAAAGACATTTTACACCGACTTCACTGTGCTCGCCTACGGGCTGCGGTTCATCTTCTCTACTCTATTTAGTGCTGTTACCGTACAAAAGAAATGTTCCCTTCATAATGTTCTGCACATCGGTCATAAGGTTTCCGAGTTTTTTCTTAGAGGAGTTTGCTCTGAAACCTTCGAAACCTTCCGTAAGACTTTTGGAGGTATCGTTAGGCAGTGCTCTGGTGCTACATAGCTCGCGTGGCGTTCCTCGTCGTACCATTTCCGGCTCTGTGAAATCCAACTACTTCTTCGGTTTCGATAGCTAGTTAGGAGGAAATGTAACCCCGCTACTTACATATGCACATACTTTTGTACATACATCGGTTTATTGAATAGTACCCTCAGAAAGTAGGTATAAGAGTCGATCGATGAAGGTGCTGGCTATCTGTTGCTTTTCGGCGTCGACGTGCTATTAATCACACATTTTTGCAGCACTGAGTCAGGTGCGTATCTTAACGCGAACAGAATAATGGTCCGACTCGATTATTGAAGTTCATATCATGGAAAATTATCTCCCGTTTATCAAAGTATGATTTATGCTATATTCTTTCTCATTCTTCGATAAGCGACCGGTCGCAGTCGATGATCCTAAGCCCTTTATCGAACGTTTCGTCGTGGAGACTAAGCGGTGGGACCAAAGATCCTTTTCCGCCCTGGCCTTGTAAGCGACATGCATGATTTTATATTGTGTTGGAAACATCGCTTAAAAGAGCGAGACCTTTGAAATACGATCAGCAGTTGTTTAGCTTAGAGTTGCAGAGGAACAGCAAGGCTCCATCTGCCATAAAAATCCCAGATGGGGAAGGACTTGGCTTCGTCTAGCATTTCAAATTGGCGTCAGTTGGTACAGAAGAGAATCGGCTGAGGTACTTTATTAGACTCGAACGAAATCGCTTAATCGAAGAAGAAGTGATGTTAGTTCTCGATCGTTTTCTGGAATCTTTCACGTTCAAAAAAGGTGTACGTGCTTATATTAAATTAGCGCAGTGGTCTGCCTTTTGGCACGGTCGAAAATATGACTACAAGGGCATCTGTAGCATATTAGAATAGGGACCAATTGATACAACCGACTTCAGTGCTCACAGGAAAGTTTAGCGGTACCGTTAACTTCTTCATGACACAATTAGTATGGGACCATCCTTTAGGTACCAGCTTTTGACAAAAAAAGGATAATTGAAAACTATTCACGTAGTCCAAAGTTATCTGGCATATGTACATACAACATTAGGGTAAATGCATGTGAAAAAAGTAAGTCAAAATTTTAATGCTCTCACCCCCTAGGATTGTTCTATGTCGAAAAAAACTTCACGCCTATTTTTGTATAAAAAATTATTTAGGGTCGCTCAAAGCGCTCAAATTTTTCCATGTATTTTATATGGGAAAAAACAAGTTCTCGTAGGTATGGTATGGAATTCTTGAAAATCAATAGTTTTTGATAGTCTTTTTTCTTCAGGAGGCTGCCAATAAAAAAACCCAATTGTTTATTTAACCATTTTCCATTACTATTTTTTATAGGACCTTAGGGGTCCTATACCTCAAAAAATAGTATAAAAATAGTTAATAACATGAAATAGTTAAATAAACAATTAAGTATTATTATTGGGAGTCTTCTGAAGAGAAACGAGGATTTCCGATCGAAAAATATTTAATTTCACGAATTCTATACCATTTCTACGAAAAGCGTTCTTTTTTCCATATAAAATACATGGACAACTTTAAGCACTTAGAGAGACATCTAAATGTTTTTTTAATTCAATAAAAGGACAGCGGTATAACTTCTTCGGTATAGAACACTCCTAGCGAGTGATAGCTATAAAATTGCGACTTTACTTTTTTTTACGACCCTAATGTACACCCTTAAAAAAAATATATATATATTCCAATGAATATTTTAACGTCGGTTAAAAAAAATAATGAAACCATCCATTTCTGGGAATGTGAAGGTTTATTTTTAAGCCAAGCCGTTTTAAATTATGTGCATAAATTCGATGAAATTGCCATAAAAATATTAAAATTTAATGAAATTTTTCAGGATTGTATAACCTCTCCTTGTAAAAATCTCGTTAAAAAACACCAAACCATACAAATGACTGCAAAACGAGCAACTACTACTACATGCAAAAAAAATAACAGAAAACATTGCTTCTTACCAAGAACACGGGCAGGAGGCACTTCTGAGAGCAAATTAAAGCAGAGTTCTGTAGCTTAAGTGAAGAGGTGTTGCTTGCAGTTAAACCTCGTGGAGTTAAACCTCGTTCATAGATGTAAATTTAAGCTAATGGGGTACATCCCATCATCGTCATTACTCAACAAAACATTCAAATGCCTAGACAACAAGCCAAGACGATATCATCATAATTTTCACAGCTTTCTGTTCTTTTTCTTCATAACTTCGCCCACCCTCCCCCTCCTTCCGCTACATTTCAAATGCTTTGCTAATTTGCGGCGTTTGAGGCATCTCAAACTCAGCGCAACTCTACTTTACTGAACACAGTTTGAACTCTGCTCGTTCATGGCCATCAATTAGCAGAATATTCAGCTTATACACACAGCGTATAATCGCACTTCAATTGTTAAGAAGCTTTTTATTTTTATTTTTCAATTAAATGTGCATTGCTGCACATTGGGAACTAATGCGAAATTTCAGCTACAAAGTTAGCGCTAATCTAGGCAAAGCCAGTCAGAGCCAGCCCACTGATGGTGGCATTATTCAAAATTATTTATTTTGTGTATTTGTATTTGTATTTGCTGTGTGATCTAACCCTCCAAATGACCGCAATAAATTCAAATATTTAATAACCAATGCGAAAACAAATCTTTTTCTTCCTTTCGCTTTGGACCTTGTGTAGGTGGTGTTGTACATACTTACATATGTATGTATTTGAATTTCTCAGAATTTGTTGGTACAAATAAAGTAGCTGTTAATGTGAGGCTATTATTATTTAATTTGGTGATTTTCCATGGTCCATGATTTATGCGTTTGTTTAATGTGAGTAAGTTGATTTATGTCTGTTCAGTAGAGAATATCAACTAATTAGGTTCTGAACTCTTGCAATGTAAACAAGAATATTAATTTTGATAGACTACAAAATTACGGCGTCTTATGAGAGCTTTTGCTTAAATACGAGGCTATAAATAGTGTTGAGTATCAAATTTGAAACGATTGTCATATCGAAAACAAAAAAGTCTACACTTCTGTTTTACGTAGAGTTCGTAGAGTTCGTAGAGTTTTTTGAGCGCATGTTAGGGACAAATTGCCCGTTATGAATCGACATTGCGCTCTCTCCTATTCACGGGTGAAAACCAGAGACTTTACTAATTTAGCTTTTTCATGGCAAAAAATGCAATCGAATGTTTGCCATTGCCAGTCTAGGAGCGACCAATATTAGAAAAACAAAAACTGAGTGCGTTTGGTCCATACGCGTGCAAGAAGTGAAACTTCATATAAAAAATTCCCGAAAAGAAAAACTTTATCTTTATCTTGGTCTTGGATTTTGTCTTTGTCTTTGCCTTGGACTTTGAACTGTCCCAAAATGTTCGCACCAAGTGGTAACTCTTTTGGCTTGGTATCTGATAAGCTTTGTATCGGTTGAAGTTATCTCATATAAGGAAGTTATTCCTTTTAACAGTGAAAATTATAGTCCTCTTTTAAACGCTCCGAACGAAGCCAGCCAGCGAGCAAACGGTGTTGTCAATAATAATTAAATTTGAGCTGCTGGAGCGGTTTTATTAAATATGAATTACATACGCTGGTAGGGCAATCTTCGCTGCCGATCGGGTTTGCCTTTGACTTATAAGTATTGGCAGATTATTTGCCGAGTCTATTGTTTCCAATTTGAACATCAAACGTTGCAGAGGCGACTTTTAAATACGACCGCGATTGCAGTAAATAACCTCAACTGGCGCAATGCTTGCCTAAGATACACTCCTTTTAGTGTTGCGTAGCCGCAGACTTACATCTATTTTACAAAAATTTATAGTCGTCAAATATAACTTCTAGTTTGCCATTTGTTTACTGTGAGAAAGGTTAGGTTAAATTATGGCGCTTT